AGCTGAGAAGCATTTGGCTTTGGCATCTTGTACCTCGTCCCTAAAGCCAGGCTGCCCCTAAAATCCTGGTGATCACTGCAGTGGATGCTGGAGGGCAGGTGAGCATGTCCTGTCTCTCGCAGGGAACCTGAGGCTCAGGGGATCAGGGATAAAGGTGGAGTGGCTGCACTCTGACCTGAAGCAGAAGCTGCAGCTGTGGGAGGAGAGGCCACCGTCCAGCCAGGCGCAGGAGGACAAGAGCCTGGCAGTGCCCAAGCCACTGGCCCTGCCTCCAGCGGCGGAGAACGTGGTGGACCACCTGAACACCCTGTGCAGGAAGCAGCACCTGGGGACACCCCTGTTCCTCACCAAGTGCCTCCAGGTGAACCCCAACGGGTGGCTGCTGTTCTGGTACCAGGTGGCGATCCTGGGGTACTCCATGCCCTTCAGTGGGTTCACGTGGGTCCGGCAGGACGGGCAGGGCCAGAACAGGCACGAGGAGGCCAAGGCTGCAGCGGCACTGCACGTGCTCCGTGTGTTAGGTGAGCCCTTGGTGAGTCCTCACGTGGTGTCCGTGCCAACCCCCTGCTTTTCCCAGTGTCCTGAGTGTTTCCTGGGAGCGTGTGTCTTGCAAGGGGGGCCCCAACCTGGCAGGCAGGGCTGAAGCACTGCCCACCCCCTGCTAGATGGGACCCTGCTGGGTCTGAGCTCTGGGTGGGATTTCTGGTTGGAAGCAGAGGGTGCAAGAGGAGGGTTTGGGGTGAGAGAAGAGCCTGACGCTCCCCTCTCCACTGCAGGGTCCCAGCTGGTGTAGGGAGCTGCTCTGCCAGAGCCACGACTGAGCCAGCCAGAGTCATCGGCTGCGGTGCTGCCAGCAGTGTCCAAGCCCTGCCAGGCCCTCGGCCCTGTTCCAGCGTTTCTTTGGGCTTGTTTGCATTGGTTTTGGAGCCGGCTCTGGAGGATCAGGCCTGCTGTCCTGGTCCAGGGCAGCTGCCCTGTCCCCAGTTGGCTTTTGCATTGTTTTTGGGATGTTGGTTTTCCTGCGCGGTTTGTCTTGTTGTAAACTGGTTTATGTTGAGGTAGAGAAGCCCATTGCATGTCCTGGAGGAGCAGTAGCTGCTTGGAGAGGCTGCCAGTGTTAGATGCCAGAAAGGTAGAAGTGTGGACAAGATGAGGAAAAGGCCGTCCACAGGGACCATCGTGGTGCCCACAGGTGTTCCGTGGGCTGGGGGAGCTGCTGTCCAAGGAAGGGAGTGCCTGCGGGCTGTTTTCTGTTGCACCATGTCCAGGAAGCAGCCGTGGTCGTTCCCGGCTGTCCGTAAATGATTCCTCAGGACTGGGAGATCCAGACGCATGTTGGTCGTTTGGGATTAAAGAATTCTTGGAAGTACCAGTTGTGTCACGTCATCTCTCCCTCCCACATCCTCGGCTCCCTGCCTGTCCAGCGTACCTTGGTGCTCTCCCCCACAGCGGCAAGGGCAGGGAAAAGGACAAGGATTTGGAGCCTCCACAGCCTGGTGGGCTGCTCATCAAACCAGAGAGGGTCCCCTCACACTCCCAGTTTGGGAGGGGTCCCCCAGTACTGGTGCAGTCCTGGTACATAGACAGGGGTCTCTGGGCAGGATTCCACCATCCCCTCAGTGGGATGGGACAGGTGGCTGCCAAGGGTCCTGGTTCCATATCCATCTTGGGGGACTCTCTGTCCTTTCTTGAGGGTCTGTATCTGTCCCAGGGGTCCCGGATCCTCCAGGTCACCCCGTTACACAGAACTAACATTTAGTACAACGTTGAGAGAATCGGTCGGGACGCCCAACAAATCTCTGGGGAGCTGTGGCAGCCTTAAGTAACAAATTGTAACCCATTTCTGAATAATTTGTATATGCTGGCTAACAGGGTAGTAGCTGTATCCTCTGTGCATCCAGGGCCATATGCCAGTGCCCCACTAAAGCAGTGCCTGTTCCTACATTGGCGTTAACGAGTTTCGTTCCTGCTTTTCAGGAGCACCTCTGGCCTCGTCCAGTCCCATCCCAGCAGGTGCAGCCTCAGCTGCAGTTCAGATGCCAGTTCTGGGGGTGGTCCTGCTCCCTCTGCCCCCAATGCTCCCCACTCATGGCACATTGTGATGCACATCTGCACCCACCAAGTCCCTTTGGCAGCACCCAAGTTCCATCCTCCTTTCTTTTGGAGATCCCCAGGATCCTCCAAGAGCCTCCTGGTGCACCCTTAGGTGCCTGTTTGTACTCCCTGGAGGTCCATCTGGCCCTCCTGGGGCAGGACCCTCACCTGCTGAGGCAGAGCCAAAACACGGGCACAAGGCACTGGGAAGTTAAAGGCACTGAGTTTATTTGTAACAGAGACAATGTCTAAATTAGTTAACAAGGGCTAATTGACGGCCTGGGACAGCAGGGCACGAAAGGCATGGACCTGTTTTGCCCAGCCCAGGCACTCCAGGACCCCATGTAAGCCCGTCCCTCGTGAGAAATGTCCTGCCTCCCCCTTCCCCCCATCCTAGGAGCCCCAAATACACCAGCAAAACCCAGAATTACCCCCTTCCCCATGAGCTGTATGCCCACCAGAGACCCCCAGCCATATCCCCCCCATATTTCAGTACCACCCCATCCACCAGGGATCTTCAATCATGCCACTCTCCCCCCCAAGCCTCTTCCACCAGGGATGCTCGGCCATGTCCCCCATCTCTGATCACCCACACCAGGGACCCTGTGGCAACCCCTTCCCTGAGT